ATTAAAAAAGGCAGGGGGACTCATATTTTATGGCCATAATATTTTGAACCCCCTCCCACATCAATTAAAAGGGCAGTGGGACTGATATTTATGGCCATAATTTTTGAATCCCTCCACATCAATTAAAAAGGCAGGGAGGTCACATTTTATGGCCATGGATTTTGAACCCCCTCCCTCTGAAATTAGGGCAGGGGAAATTTCATATTATTCCTTTTAAAAAGGGCAGGGGGACTGTATTTTATGGCCATAAATTTTCCCCACTTCCTGTAAAATTAAATGGGCAGGGGGACTCATATATTATGGCCATAATATTATTGAAGAGTTACCTCTTTAATGAAAAAGGTAGGGGTTCAATATTTTATAAGGGGGTTCAATATATCGCAGCGAAAAAGTGAACCCGGGTTCAAAAATCATAGAACCCGGGTCAATATATCTTGCAAAATATATGTTACACCGGTAGTAAGCCGAGCTAGTTGACGAACTCCATCTCTTGACATGCGGCACTGGTAATTAATATTAGTTGAAAACTTGACCATCCCTTGAAAAGCCGCTCTGGTAGTAAGCCAATCTAGTTGATGGACTTGGTTGTTCAATGACAGGCCGCACTGGTAGTCAGCCGAGCTAGTTGATGGACTTGGTCATCCCTTGACAGGCCGCACTGGGTCAGCCGAGCTGGCCGAACTTGGCATGGTGGAAGCGTCCCTCATTTTAGCTGGTCAGACGTCTTGGCTGGTGGGCAGTGTGACTGGTAGTTTAAGTTTTCGTTGAAATATGCTTGCAATTTTAACCTTTTCTTCAATTCTGAAAAAAATTGTAAAGGTTCAAAATTTAGATTAAAGATATTTAGATAGTATTTTTCCTCACTCATTTGCATATCAAATTGAAAACAATATCAATTAATTCAAATTCATTAATTCATCCAAAACATGGAAAATACAAGACTAATTTAAGATCCTTACAGGAATCAGTTTTAGATTGAAAGATTCATTGAATTTTGAAATGAAAAAAAAATTTACTTTACCTTAAACAAGTAATATTGTGAAGAATTTCATGTACTCCAGGGCAGGACAGATTCAGCTTATGGAAACATCATGTACCAATATTCTGCTTTATAAAAAAAAAGAAAATTAATGTTAAATTACTCATTTCATTGCATTTAAATTAACATTGCAGCTAGATCATGTTATGATCATGCTGATGTGTATAAGGCTTCACAATATTTTAACAGTTCAGGGAATCTATAAACAATTGTGGGAATAAATATGACAAAGAACATATTTGATTAATATACTAAATGCTGAAAAATATTATGCGTTTCAAATTCTTTCAATTTGTATACTTCAGTCTTTGTCATTCGACATACCAATCAAAACAAACAAGAAATCTAAGATTCACACGCCTAGAATTGTGTTCATTCCCAATATTTCTTCTTTTTGGAATGTTATTCCAGAGGTACTAAGTCTACTTTACCAAAATCAATAAAATGTTAGCATGAATATCGCCTTACCAACTGGTTTTATCTCCTTTTTTTCTATCAACACTTTCAACATCCAAACATTCAAATCGTCCATGGAAAAATCCGCGCTCTGTTATTGACCAATCATAGAACTCAAAAACGTCACGTGATCGAAAAAAATAAATAAATAATTCATTATTAATTTATTTTAAATGCAAATAAACATAATTGTGTAATTTCAACCTTAAATTAAAAATATAAATACCAGTTGGTGTTAAAATTTTGAATTTATCTTAGTATCAACAAAATGGACATCGGAGGCCGGCGGCCGCCATATTTGCCGCCATTTTGAATTTAATATTTGTTTATTTGTGAAAATAACTATTATAACTGGGTTATTTAATTATGCAAACAATAAAATCTACATGTACTAGTCATCTGCTTAAATCTTAATATAAGTGGCAGTCTTTATTCACAACATCGTAATATCTGTTCAACATGAACATGCACATACTCTATGCTGCTGTTTATCTTTTTAGCCACCCATATTACGCTTTTTCTGCAGATTTCAAACAACCTGTGTAGAATTGTACCATTCAGAGATTTGTAATACCCAAGCTTTTTTATTTACGATGTGTTGGCCACAAAGGTCACCTAGTACAAACACCTGTCTCACAGAAAACAATAGGGAAATTTACACAGTTTTGCACACGAAGACTTCATGAGATTACATTTCATACTGTTTATATCTCTTGCAGTACATTTATATTTCCCCAAATTATGAAATATATTCATTCCCAACTTCAGATGTAAGTGCATTATTATAATTTACAAGACAAATATTATGTCTCATCAGGGTCTCAATAAATACGTTTTTCTGAGAGAGAGAGAGAGGAGAGAGAGAGAAATTAATTATTCTCAACTTTAGTTGAAACTTACATGACCAATATCAATTTAAATAGACAATAATATTTATTACACACCCTCAAACACCACAGAGAGAGAGAGAGAGAGAGAGAGAGAGAGAGAGAGAGAGAGTTTCTCATTTATAGATGTAATTCACAAGATTTTATTCACATCCCTTCTGTTGAACTTGACATGGCTGTGGACAGCATATTTACCGGTATTATGAATGTGAAGTGATCACTGGTAGTAAACAATATTATTGTTCAGGAATTGACAAAGTTTTCTACTGCAGTGTTTGAAAAAAAAAATATTTTGAACATGATCAAAATTCATTCAAATTAACACTTAGTTTATATGTTATTTTTGAAAAAAAAAGTTGGTGTCAAGTAGTATCCATTAAATAACCCCCAAAACTTGTAAATTTATACTGGTAATGCTTGAAAATGGCTAAGTTCAGAAAAGTTATGTTTTAGTTATACATGAAAATGACAAAGTCCAGAAAAGTTATGTTTTAGTTATACATGAAAATGGCTAAGTCCAAAAAGTTACATTTTAGTTATACATGAAAATGACAAAGTCCAGAAAAGTTATGTTTTAGTTACACATGAAAATGGCTAAGTCCAAAAAGTTACATTTTAGTTATACATGAAAATGACAAAGTCCAAAAAAGTTACATTTTAGTTATAACTTTTTTGTACCTCACAGGCTAGGTATAACTAAGTTATACTTTAGTTATAAATATAACTTTTTTCGGTATGGGTGATCAAAGGATATTAATGATTTATGATTATGGCTAATTTATTTCAAACATTTAGCTTTTATGTCAGGTGTGAACATGATCTTAATTTAAAAGTGGTGGATCTAAGGGGAGCGGATATTATTTTTAAATATTTGTGGTGGGTAAAAGGATAATAATGATTATGGCTAATTTATTTCAAACTTTAATCTTACATGTCATGTGTGATCAAGAACTTAACTTATTAGTGGTGGATCCATGGGGAGTGGATATTCATTTTTTAAAGAAATATTTGTGGTGTATTAAGGATATTAATGACTATGCCATAGTCATTAATATCCTTGATATGGCTGATTGATTTTAAGCATTAAGATTATATGTCATGTGTGGTCATGATCTAAACTGATAAGTGGTGGATCCAAGAGGCATAAATATTTTATTTTTAAATATTTGGGTGAATCAAAAGATTTTAATAGTTGTACTTTGTGATAAATATGTAGATATATTGCACATGAATTAAATAAATCCAATCTTATTAGTGGTGAATGCAAGGGGAATGGAGATTTTAAAAAATCCACAAACTAGACATCATATAAACCTAACATATATAAATATACATTAGTTAAGGAAAGAGACCCTCTTTGGACACTGTGAATTGGTTGCTATTGTGTTGGTATTAAATTTTCTTGTTTCATTTTTTTAAATATTCAGATTAATGGTCATCGATCAAATAATCTGTGAAGAGTTTTATGATGAATGTTTCATTTTGGGAGGCAACTGCCTTAGAAACCTGTTTTCATATAAATCTTCTTTTACATAAGCAAAAATTTGAAGAATGAATACTTGAAAATTTGAAAAATAATAGATATTTGTTATAACTATCAACTTTTATAAAATGAGAAACAGAGAAGATACTAATGATCCATTAGTCTAAGAAAAAAACCCAAGTTTTTAGGAATTATCTTACAGTAAATATATCAATACATGGGATTTAAAACCCCATGATAAAGAAACGTGGGAGAAAAAACCCCATATGACAAAATAAGCAACATATGGGTTTAAAAAACCTACATTGATTTTCGTGGGGTTATTTACCCCATGGGGTGAAAAATAAACCCCATGGGGTTTTTGTGGGGTTTTTGGTGGGGTATTTTTAAGTTCATGTTTCCCCATGGGATTTTTGTTTTTGAACTCAAATATCTCAAAAACTAGCAGAAAAGGGATACATAGTAATACATAGTATACATATGGGTATCAAAGGTCACTCCTACATTTATAATATCATACTAACAAGTAATAATTATTTTCTAAAAGACATGATAACATGATGAAAATCAAACTTCATTAAAAATATCAGTTTTTGTAATTTCATTGGTGTAAGTATCTACCTTTTACAAGACCGAAAATAAGACGTCAAAGAATTTTTAACCATACTATGATGTATGAAATAAAAATTGATACACAAAGATATTTCAGTTTGAAGTTAGTTTCGTTTACAAACTTATTCAACTAAATAATTATTTTATGAGTTGCTCAGCCAAGATAAGGATCGAGTTATAAAAGGAAATTAACAAAATGGATTAAAACAACCTTGTAGTTTGTCAAAAGAAAGTTGAATTTCTTCAGTAATTTTACCCTACTAATATCGTAGTCAAAAGTGCGGTTAATGCCTTTATGAATTACTGGTACATACGAATATTTAATACATGAAGGAACTTTAAGGATCCAAACGTCCAGAGTGCCTGAAATGGAAATGGAAAATGTGTTCCCTTTGTCTTCCTAAACTCTCTCTCCCTCTCTTTCCCTCTCTCCATTTCTTTACCATTTTCTTTAAAATCCTATTTCACCTGTGTCTTTATTTATATGAAAAAGGCACCATGTACTCATCATTTCCTTGATTCGTCGACGAATGAGGCGTTGTTGTTGTTGTTGAAAATTCTTTAAAATATCAGTTAAATATCAATAAGTTCATATTTCCCGAATTGAAAAAAAAACTGATAGAGAGATATTTGATTTCAAGAAACACTAAGTAGAAACATCTTTTTTTTATATATTTTGTGAATTTTCTATTAGTTATTATTGTTCATACCAAGTGGAGAGTAGTTGGACGACACTACCGCATTTATATTTACCGAGTCATAGGTGCTCCTATAAATTAACAAATTTAATTTATCATCAGTTAAAAGAACCTTAGTTAAAATTCTTCAAGTCAATGATTTTATGACATAAAATTCATTTCACAATGAAAGGCTTTAAACTACACTACCTGATCATTGTATTTTTTGCGCCTGTAAAAAATTATGAGAAATCTTTATCATATGAAAAAAAGAGCCTCACAAAGTACTGTATATTCAAATTACAATGTATTGTGAAACCCAGAGCTTATAACATGAAACCATTATATTAAAAAAGAGCTTCAAATGGTTGAATACAATATTTTCATTTATCAATCCCAAGAGTTTATTACATGATAACATGCTACGCGTAATTTAACATACTCTTTGTCATATTCCTGGCTTTCCATAGAATGACGGAGCTGACTAAGAAGAATAACCCGGATATAATGATCAGAGTGATTCCAATGGCTAGAATTGTAATACCTAAAAATTTAAACAATCATTACGTGACCAAAAATCGTATTATAAGTAGATGGAATGTTAAACATAAAAGCTGGGAGTGAAAAACTTTAAAGCGAGGACCTTTAACCAAGAATAATGTATTGACATTGCAATAGAGATTCAAAAAAAAAAAAAAACAAAATGAACGGTGGTCGGGGTATACATGTATCAGCATTTCATAATTTTAGAAATTTTGCTTTTGAACTTAAAGTATAAATACTGCTGTATAATTTAAAGTATTTATATAAATGCTTTGATTCTTTATGTTTGTTTAATTAATGTTCACTTTGAGAATTTTTCACAAATATTGAAATATCATCATTGGCAGACAGAGTGCTTCAAATTCAAACTCGTTCTTTGCAATTATGGTCTTGGCGCAGTGAAGCGTGTTTTTCGAGCAAGCACATAATGCAATAGGGGACCTCGGAGCCTCATGGGCGACAAAAAAGTCAATATCTTCACAATTTCTATGAAACTAAATCATCTGATCATTTATCCCTTGTACACGTATCATCAGATTTGTGAAATATAATGCACTACAGATATGTTTTGGCTGAATATTCAGTATAGACGCAATTGTCATGTTCCAGTATCAATATGTTAGAACGAACTTTTTCCCTTTGATGACCTTGACCTGTCTTGAAAGAATTTTCCTCTTTGCTTCTCTTAACTGCTTAAGCAACTCTCAAATATATTTTTTTAAATGCTCGCCATTGTCATCAGGATGGCATTGGTTGTAATCGGCGAAACTTCTGATCTCCTGTTGTGTGGATTCTTCAGGTGGTGTTCCAGAATATGTGATCACCTCCATTCTCTGGGTTATCGTTTCAAACCCCATGCTCTGGGCTTTTGTTTTTAACCTAGCTCTCTGGGTTGTTATTTCTGTAACAAAGCGAACCTTTAATATGTATATTTATAACAGTAATATATGTTAAAACAACCGTTTTTCTTAAATATTTTTAATTTTGATAAAAAAAAAAAGGGTTGAGGTGATTTTTTTAATGGTATTTGGGATTTTTGGCAATTTGGGAGAAAATATCCCAGAACCAGTATTGGGATCAGAGAATGCTTAACTAACAGGACTAACTACTGTCAAAAAGAATAAAGTCCTAAAGGACCCGTCAATATTTCTTATCAGGCGGGTAATACGGGTGTAACAAAATGGGGGGAAGTCTCAAAAACATATCTTAAAGAACAATAAAAGAGTATGCCCCAGTTTAATATTGTTTGAAAAAATCAAATTCATAAAATGTAAACTTTAATCATCAGTTTATAATCAGTTTTAATCACAGAGGGATTTGTATGGCACATTATCCATTGTGTTGCAAAATTGTTGATATTCTTCTCTCCAGAAATAATTGTTTGGGACATTTAAAAGTGGTCATGGATATGCGATAAGAAATTAAAAAAATTAAATGGAATAAAGACTATCAGCCACATTTTTTGAAATTGCGGGAATATGAGGTACCTTTGAGCACTTGGTACAAACTTTGAAAGTCTAATGTAATTAATAAAAAAAATACATATTGAAATGAAATCAAAACCCAAATAAAACAGATTTGGGGGAGAAGAGAGTTTTTGTTTCTGATATTGTTGGAAGACTTAAAGGTTCAAATAAAGCAGTCACCATCACGTAACGGTCAATGTCCAATATAAATTTTTTAAACTAGTTTTGGGAACTCGGCAGTCAATACTTCTGCCCTGTGGACACGATTTTTATAATTCTGCACTAAATTTGATTGATTATTGATCGATTTTTTAACATTTCGTATTTAAGTCTCAAAAGTTTGTATATATAAGTATTATTAAATGCAGTAGTCTCTTGATTGTCTCTTTAAGTGTGTTCGATAGATGACTCTTCTCGTTAAAATCACACCTTAACCATCTGTAATACAACGCTTCTGATAGCAGTTTAAGGTTCATCGATACCCTGATAAGAGAGATGGCCCTTAATGACATAAAAGTCTATTATTTCTTTATAAATTTGTCAAGTTGAAATGTCTTTTTTGTTCAATTTTGCACACGCGAGTATGCTATAACTTCTTGTATTTTACTTCAAAAATATATTTTTTTAATTTTTTTTTCATAAAATCTTAAAAGTTTAAGCAACTTTTATACGTGTGAGTAGAGGGTTTATGAACCTTATTTTACCTTCCTGTTCACATAGTGAAGGCAGCAGATCACTGCAGTTTTTAGACTGGATATATACAACTGATTTATTTTCCTTACTAACAGCCAGACACTCAAATGGGGCTGTTTCGTTTCCTAGAAAAAGAATAAAGCATGAGTGTTTTAAAGGAAACGACATCATTAGCATACCAGATTATATTTTTCTTTTTTACAAAAGTGTCGGTTTAATTGTGTTTTAATATTAAAAAGATATCTTTTAACACAAATCAGATAAATTATATTATACAGATAAATTAACTTCTTTAAAAACCAAATAAAGTGGAGATATAAGCAATTGAAATAGGCGAAGATAACGAAAAGAAGTGATCAACATAAAAGAATCTAATATGTTTACAGAGCATGGAAACACAGACACCTGAAAATTTCCTGATGTACGATCTGCTATCTAGGAGGAGTAAACGAAGATTTTTTTTTTCAAATGCAGTTTAGTTAATTTTAGATATACTTCTCCATTGTTTAATGTATGCATATAAAACGGAACTGCGTAGAAGATTCAGTGTTTAAATAATGAATTTAAACACTACAGTAGTGAATGATTCTTTTAATAATATGCACAAACATTAGACATTTGGAAATAATATATCAAATCAAACTGCAAAATATAAAAAAATAATTTAGTCTGGAATAAAAAAAATAGTGATTGCTTTCTGAACAACTACGAAATATTTCGCAGTTGAGTGTTTCCGAAAGTGAAGTTTATACATTTTTCTTTAAAAAGGCATTCATAGGAGTTCATTTTAATGGCAGAAAGGCACACTAAATCCGATGTTTTCAAACCGGATTCACTTTTCTTAAAATATTCACTTGTAAGTCCTTTAAAAGAAATTAAGACCGATTTCATGACAAATGTTCCTCTTCATTTTTTTTATCGAAATTATATGTAGATATGTGGTGAAAAAATATGTTCATTCATACCTGTACTCCACTGCAGTATGCTGCGCCTCGATATTCCCGTCCAAGCCCTTGTGAAGCTGGACGGAGGATTTGACAGGCGATAAAATCCGTCAAAAGAGCCCCTCAAAAGACCATCACACGCTAACACCGAGTTAGTCCAATTTCTTCGTTCTCTTTGTAAAACTAATTGAATTCCATTCATGCCTACGAAACAAAACATTTTCATTTATGAATCGTTTATTTTTTACTCATATCAACTGGGAGGCTAAATATATAGTTTACAAATCTTGAATATAGAAATACTTAATTGTAAGTAAGAAAATAAAGTGTTTCCAGAGCATCCCTCCAGGGAGAGGGCTAAAATTGGATATGCCTCCTGTCTAATCCCATGTACTTTTATTTGTTAATAAAATTTTGTCTAAATGAAAAAAGGTGTTCTCAGAAATGTTTCTGAATTATCAATCAATAAGAAGAAAACAACCATTCAAAAATCAGTCATAAAAAGTCTAAAGGTAAATCCACAAATGAAATTTCAAAATTTGATGTAAAATTACCCAATGTATTTTCAAATTTATCTGTTTTACACTTCTGTTCGTGAATGTTAATCTGCCTAGAGAAACACATGCTTGTCAAGTCAAACATTACTGTACTAAAAACTGTTCTTATTAATCGACAAGAGAGCACCTCATTCAGAAGTGGTTGTATCGTCTGTTGTATTTGAGCTGTTTTAGATAAAATACTGAACACAGATAGTGTTATATGCATGTTAAAGAGGCTGGGTGGTCGTGGCCATTTTTAGACTATTTCTATCTCCTATAGAAGAAGAGCTCCATATAAAGATATACAAAAATGATACAATTTTAAAACTAATATGTATGATATTTTCTTTGATTTTTCTTTTCAAATGATAGCTGACAGCTAAAGATATCATATCTAAAAAACTTAAGTTATATCTGGTGGTTAATCTTTTATTAATTTGTTGACTCCCAGCCTCCTTAAAGAAAATCAGAATATTTGCATTTTAAAATGGAATGGATGATAACGGCATCTTTACTGATTCTTACCTTGTAGATAACTAAATTGGTGTGTTTGGTATTCTAAAAAGCCTCTGTCGCTAAAGAAGTCCATTTGTGTATTTTCATATAATTTCGTGTTACAACTTAATATCTTTGATTTTAGTCGCAGATAATTGTTACAAACGCATAGCATATACTGAAAATGTAAGAAAATTTAACATGATGGATATCCATTCAAATTATATCACTTGGTATGTGTTTTGCTCTCTCTCTCTCTCTCTCTCTCTCTCTCATTAATTACATTTAGTGAAATTAATTTAAGAAAAGAAATAATTTTTTTTTCAATGAAGGAAAGTATATACAGTAATTGTGCCAAAAAATATTAAAATCATTGGATTTAGTTCGTGAATTTGTGGACACATTTTGTTGACATAGGAGTACATTATAAACTGTCATAAACTTTATCATGATTATCACAATGTTTTGTTAGAAATATGGGAAAACAAATTTCCTGATTTCTTTTTTATCAAATATTTGGTATATAAAGAATGGTCTTAATATATTTTAGAAGAAGAAACTTTATTATTTCTTGAAAACTCACTGACAAAGCAAATCTTGACCCATTACAAAAATTGTAGCAGTCATACACTGGTTGAGTGGTGCTAGTTAGGTAAGTTTTTATTTCCTTGGTGTCATTGGTAATTTCTATGCAACCTATGATAAAGATTTTTAAAAAAGATTAAATGAGAGAGAAAACGAAAGCAGCTGAAATGCGTTGATTGCATGACATGTATATCATAAAAATTATACTCTGAAACACAAATATTGACTACTGCTTTATACAAGAGAAGCTGGAAAATACTCATCAGTCCTTTTAACTTCTTTTAAAATTAGATGTATGTATCACAATTAATAGTTAATGTTTCTACTGAAACATTTTAAAATCAAGAATTTACACTTTATTAATTAACTTTACACTTGATTAATTAACTTTAGAAGTAGATTTTCAAAATCTCTACTATAAATGATTTTTATCTTCATCGTAATTCATTGTTAATGAACAATTTCATTCAGATGTTATGCGTATGAATTATTATTGTCATCTCTCTCTCTCTCTCTCTCTCTCTCTCTCTCTCTCTCTCTCTCTCTCTCTCTCTCTCTCTCTCTCTCTCTCTTACGATTAAATTTGATTGGATCTGTTGTCTTTTTAATTGCAGCTATCCAGTATTCCCTTCCATCTTGAGGTACATAATCTCTATATGTTTCTGGCAGCCTAGAAAATACCCCTCTCTCGTTTGATCCGAGAAGCTGACATCTATAATTGGCATCTCCAGGTTCGTATTTCATTGTCTAAAAAGAAAATATTAAAAATATAAAATTTTCAACTGTTGATTCATAAATAACAGCATCTTTCACAAATACAATGACATCGATATTGACTGATTTCATTTTATTCCAAATCCATGAGTAGAAGTTATACTTTACTTTTTCCAAATTAAAAATATATATATATATATTAATATTTAATTATTGATCAGAGTAATTAAAGATATTGAATGTTTCTAATCCAACATTTTATATTAACTCAGTATTGTTCTCGATTTATTGTTTATCTATTTTCAGCGCACTGTTTGATGTTTGGATCCAAAGGGACATGGTCACAGTTTTAACTGATTTTTTTTCAAAACCAATTTTAATGTTTACAATTCTTAACTTATTAAGGCAATTCTAATGATCAGCAAAAATTTGAACACCCTTTGTTGATTTACAAAGGAGATACAGAACTTAAAATTCTTCTTTATGAAAACAAAGCTCTTGCCTTGTTCTTGTTTAAATAAAGAAAATATCATTTTCATGTGTAACAAAACGAGATTCATCAAATCACTAGAAACTGTCTAATCGTATCTAGAATTAACTTCTTTATTGAAAAAATATGATTTGAATAAACATATGTTCGTATATTTAACTTATTTTAATAAAAACATGACACGAGTTTTGTTTACATAACAGAGGTTTTGAGCTCTAAATCTGTCTTGTGTCTCCACAACTGAAATTCATGACATATTTTTAATGATCATTACAAAAACCCTTGTAAACAGGAACAAAATGCAAAAATATGTTAAATGTTTTAGCTGAAACTGTTTCCATGTTCCTTTCAAATACTTTTGATTCATTTAGAGTATTGCATTAAATTGCTTAATTAATTTTGTTAATTCCGTGGCATATATTGATTAGATAAATGAGTAAACTGGGGTAGTTTTTTTACTTAATAAATTGATTGTCTGTGTGTTTTATTCCAATTCAGTTAATCAAATAGCAGGTAAATAGTGATGTCGTGATCATCAAAACGCTTGAATATCACGATGACGCTTTAAACAGGCAACAGTATACAGTTGTTGACTGGGGTCTCGGGAAACAGTCGATCTGTTGGACAGGATCGAGTGCAAGCTGTTGCCCGCGGCAGACCGCGGGCAACGGCTTTCACTCTCGTGCCAACAGATCGACTGTTTCCCAACTGTTTTGTTATACTCTTACCAAATCAAATTCATATATTTAACAAGAGCCAACTTGTTTTGGGAGAGAAAGACTTTATCATGTTTATGTGTATCAACAATCGTCATTTGCCGTCTTCAATTGAGGATCATTTATTATATCAATGCCATGGGACTTATAAAATGATTTCTGTAAAGCTAGCGGATAGAAATCATGGTTTTCTTTGCATACATGCTCCCATACTTCTTCCAAGCGGCACAATAGAATTTCCTCAAGTCAACAGCTTACTAATATTTCACACAATTTTTTTACGCAGAAGAGAATATTGTGTGGCCCGTAAACAGTTCGACTGTTTCATGATCACGCAAAAACATAAAATAAATCGAGAAACAGTTCAAAATGCCTAATAACATTTTATATATAGTAGGTTAGGTAATAATTCAAAATGCCTAATTACATTATATATATTAGGTTAGGTAATAAAAATAATTTATGAAAATTTTCAGGATAACATGAATACGTATATTTAAGAAATAAACAACAATGTTAAAAAGTTCTCTGGGAAATGAACTTTTAGTTTGTCACGTGGTCAAATCCTGTGAAGCCCGAAGGGCTTCTCAGTAGATTTGATCACGTACCAACTAAAAGTTCATTTTCCAGTGAACTTTTTAACATTGTTGTTTATTATTTATATTATTTTACATTTGAAACGGATGCATTTCGAGTTAAATTGCATTTATTACACGAACGGGCCAACGAATTGCTATGTAGTGACGCGCAATAACCTAGAAGTTGTTTGATCAAAATATCACATCGCTCTCTAATCCGGTCGCGCTATGACCTCTGACCCTTAAATGAAATTCAAACAGAGTTGAACGAATAATTAAGTTCATTTCTGAAAGATATTTGCAAATGTAAATATTGCTGATTAAAAATACTGTGGTTTATCTGTTTTTTCGGTGGGGGATTTTCATATGCTGTTCAATACAGATTGCCTTCAACAACAATTTTTGAAGATGGGAATCATTCAGCCTCGTTTGAAGTCATCATTTGGCAATTTTTTAGCTCACGGAGCCGAGAGAGCTCAAGTGTGCCTTTCTTATCATTTGTCAGTTGTGTGTCATAGTAGTCGCTAGCGCTTCATGAAAAATATGCTTAGTGCAAGTCTGTGTGATTTATACACCAATAATTAACACGAAACTAACAAATTATTATTATTATTAAATTATTATTAAACATTTATAAAGCGCCCTATATATTAAACTCTAAGGCGCTGTACAAGCAATATATGTAAAACAAATAGAACTTAAAAGTTTACAGCAGTCGCATTCGAAAATTATACGTTAAATATATGAAAAAATTTTTTAAAGTGTCCAATATACGTTAAAGTACTAAAAAGGTTATAAAAATTTAAAATGTGTCCAAAATATGATAAAAGTCTTAGATACACAATTTAGAAATCATAGGCCTTTTTAAAAAGAAAAGTTTTAAGCTTTTTCTTAAAAATTCCAAGTGAGTCACACTTTCTTAAATACAAAGGCAAAGAGTTCCATAAAGTGGAGGCCGCTTTGTCAAATTGTCTATTCATTATATTTACAATTTACATGTCTAAAACACCAAAAATAATAACTATAATCATTTGAATTTCTCGCTGCCTCATATTGTCATATTTCTACTGACGTCTCCGTAGCCT